TTAAATTCAAAAAATTATCAATTATTATTTTTATCGTTTACAAAAATACACACTATTGAATAATTTGCATATTTAAATTATAATCTAAAATAGCAAAAATTACAGACTTCTTTAACGAATCAAAAAATGAAACTTATACTTCTCAAAAGCCTAACAAGTAAGATATTTGAACTAAGTAAAAACTTGTAGCAATTAATTTTCATACTTGCTAGACCCTTTAAAGATTTGTTTTGTACTTTAAGGAACTACTTCTTAACGATGGCAATTCTATTAGCATAGACTACTTATTTATTTTTTCTTCAGCTATTTTTTCTTTCTCAACAAAAAACAAAATAATTTTTATATAAGACAACAAGTAATCAGCAAAATGTTCCCAACAAATTATTGATAATATAATCTTTTATTTTTTTTAATAAATTAAATCAATATTTGCTTATTTCTGTTTATAATTAATAATATTATCTTGTTTTTACTAAAATTATTTTTCATTTTTTATCTCAAAAATTTTTGATTTTATTTAAATTTTAATTACTGTATGTTAAGAGGCAGTAAGGAATTTTTGACTATCATAGCTAAACTAATATAAAAAATAAAAATAAGTAAACTCAAATAAATAAATAATAATATATACTAAAAAAAACTACTATTAGACTACTTAATAAACTATTAAACTACTACTACTATTATGACTGTTTTTTTCTAAACTAACTGACTACTAACCACTGAACTGCTATATAATATACTACTATATACTACTAATATAGTAGTATATACTTTCCTTAACATTATTATACTACTAATATAGTAGTATATACTACTAACTACTATGTATTTATCAATAAATAATATTAATATATACTACTATAATATATCAATAAGTAATATTAATATATACTAATAAATAATAATTTTATTTAAAGTCACAGCTTTATTAATTATGAGCAGAATTTAAATAATGCGTGATGTCAAAAAAGTTTATAAAGTCTTAAATTTGGCGTACTTTTAGCAAGTACTTGAAAGAAGAATTCTTATCACTACTTTTTTCCCTTATCAACACAATATAACAACAATAGTGATAATAATGTTAAGGAAAATGTCAGCAGCAATAATGATATTATTGAAGATATCAATAATTTGATCAAAATATAATAAGCTCTGAATTGATTAGGATTTTATCTAATCAATATTAATCATTAAAAGCCTTATCTTCTTAATGTGTGCATAGCGATAGTTATAATCTAAACACAATTTATTGGAAAGTTTGATTAAAACTTATTTTATAGGTATGCTAACTTGATAAGATTACATTTAATGTCAGAACTTCTTAGACTTTAACAAAATTAATTTGTTAGAAGTAATTCATATATGTGCATAACTCACTCCATCGTATTTGATGTACATAGAAAAGTTAAATTTCAATTTTTGCTCTAAAATTGATAATAATTAGTGATAAAAATAACAACGATCAATAATGATACTTATTGATTTCAATAAGTAATATCAGTCATATAAGTAATCTTACTAGTACTAAAATTTGCAATTCCTCACTAATATATTACAAAGCTGTGTAAACAAGGTTATTTTTTTATATTCAATTAATATTTTCTACTAATATTAGCCATTTTCATCCATTATTACCATCATGAATGTCGCTATTTATTAAAAGATTAGTTATTTACATGATTAATAAGTGTTACTTTAAATATTTATTTCAATTCTAATTCTAATAATAATAATAATAATAATGATTAAATAAATGAAAACATTATTTCTGGGTACCGAAATTTCAATTATGGGATGATTAATGCACACTAAAATGAATATTATTAATGCACACTTATCACTTATTTTAGCTATCTGTATCATATCAATAATTATAAAAGAATACAAAATTTAACGATTAATCACGATAAAAAACCTTTTTATATATTAAAAAACAAAACAAAGCACTATCATAATTGCCTAGTCTTTCCACTTAATCCTTTTTTAGAAGAAAACTATTATAAAGCTAATTTTGATAAAAGCATTTTTTTAATTCTATGATAAATAACACAGCAAAAAATGTAGTTTTATGAACTGCAAATAAAAATTTTTCATCAAAATATTGTTACTTAAAATGCAAGATTTATTAAAATTTTAGAGATCAAATTTAAAGCAACAAACAAGAGAAATATTACTATTGCTATTACTATGATTATTATTTTTATTATTATTACTGCTGTTGTTACTATTGCTATTATTATTATTGTTATTGTTATTGTTATTATTGTTATTATTATTGTTAATAATATTATAATACAATTATTTACTAATGATCGTTAAACATTACTGATTATTTGAAAAAATTGAAAAATTGGTTCATTATCCATAATTATATAAAATTGTAATGGTATTCAAAAAGCAAAAACAAAATATAATTAAAAATTATACACAATCAAAAAATGCATAATTAAATTTTAGGTTTTTTTTCATAATTATATTTGAACGAAAAGAAAAAAAGCCTTCAGTACTCCAAAAAATAAAATAGATATATTTTGAAAAAATATAAAATTGTAATTATATTTAAAAATAATATACAATATTTTTAAACTTATACATTTTTTATCATAAAACATGGCAAATATTTAAAAATAACACTCAGAGCTATCACATTAACATTCAACTTTACTTAGCAAAAAGAAAAATTATTAAGTAGTTTAATTTCATCTATAATCTATTTTCATTTATTAAATGGTAAGTTACTATGGAGACGTTTAACCGTGATATTCAACTCATAAACTTGTTTTAATTTTTACGACTACCTAAATTTGCAAGTGAATTCTTTACTAAATTTGCTAGCTTCTTTCAAGAATATGAAATTCACAATAAGATTAAGCCAAGCAATTAAATTTAACCCTTTAATTATTTATTCATAATTTAAAGAAAATGATATGATGCAAAATTATGCATAACAAATTTATAATTATACAAAACTATAATCATATTTAATTTCAGCTGCATTTTTTTTTTTTGAAATTATAATTAGATAAAAGTATTTAAAAAATACACATTATGTATGGTGAGAAACCTTTTTGTTGATTTATGCAAATTTAAAATAATTTGCAAATTAATCAAAAATTCTGCAATTTTAAATTTTTTGATTTTTTTAATAAAGTACAATTGATAATTGTTGAAGCATTTTGTTTTTTTAATTAATAAAATACATTGAATTATTATTGACTGAAACATTCTGTCTTTATTTTTAATATCTAAAAGTAAATTTCAAAATAATAAAAAATCATAACAATACAAGTTTTCGTGAGATTTTAGTACAAAAAATCAATCAATACTTCAAAATATAACTAATCAATAATAAATTACAGTAAATTTTAATAACACACTTCGATAAATTTTCAAAATTACAAATTAAATAAACAAATACGGGGTTTTGATTAAAAAATGAAATTTCTTTGAATATCAGAAAGTATCAGTAAAAAACCATATTTTTAACTATTTCAACTATACTAGAACATGAATAATAATTAATTCGATACTACGATAATAAGACAGAATATAATTGAATGCTACAAATTTGCATATATGCAATTATTTAAAATTGTTGCAAATTAGAACAGAGCAGAGTTCAATACCTTGGAGTCATCATTGTTTGAGTCAAGTAAGAATTACGTCCGTCAGGATACATACCAATCTGAAATAAGTCTGGATCTCATTCATTTTATTATAGGATTCTTGAAAATTAGGGCAAAATTTATTAGACTTTATTTCCCTAATAGTCAATAAAAGCTTGTTAAATTGAAAGAAAAGATTTTTGGCTATATTATTCGCAAAATGCAAAATTTACGCTACTGAAGCCACTTTAATTAGATTCTTTTAAACTCATTTTATCATTTTTTAAAATAAAGCCAAGTTATCTTGAATATTTGCTTTTTCAGTTCTTGCATAATATATAATCAAAGTTTTAAAGCTAATATTACAAATTTTGAAAGATAATAAAGCCTGACCTGTGAACCGTACAAACTATATTCATAGACTTCTTTACGTTGCTCACTTTTTGTACGCCAATAGCAGCAAATAACAACGCATGATCCCAAAATAAAAACAAAAAGTACGAAAGCTAACAAAACAAATACTCCAGTCATCCTGAAATAAAACTATACATGACAAGCCTTTGTAGCTAAAGTAGGAAGGAATTTTTAAGGATAAACAATTGTAGATATAAAAATGTGATAATAATTTGAATAATATAAACAAATAAATTCATAATAAATCTCGTAAACTGTCATATACATTGCCAATATATGACTTTTGTATGGATTAAACGCATTCCATATTATGTTCAGAAAACAACATTCACTATCAAGTGATAAAATGGCATTAATTTATCATTTAAAACAGTTTGTATAAATTTTTTCAACTATTTTACGATTAGCAATAGATTTATTATGAATTTATTTGTTTATATTATTCAAATTATTATCACA